AAGTGGCTGGGAGTCGTGGCGTGCTCCTGTAATCCAGCTACTCTGGAGGCCGGGATTCGGGATGGTGTGAGGTCGGGAGACCTGTGGGGCGTTCGCCTATGTTGACCGGGCGTCCGCACTAAGCTCGGCATCCATATGGGGGACTGAGGGTAGCCTTGGTCCCCCAGGTGGCCTAAGGAGGGGGGGGAACGGGTCAGGGGGGTAACCCAGCAGCCAAAACCTCCCGTGTCGAGCAGTAGTGGGATCGCGCCTGTGAATAGGAAGCGTTCTGCAGCCCAGCTGAAACGCCAGACTGTGTCCTTTTTCTCTCTCTTTTCTTTCAGAGAAAATATGTTTTCAGTAATACTGAAAACAAATAAATTGATGAGATTGTCTTCCTAAAGGAAAGACGGAAATTTGTTAGCTACCTTTTTCTGCTTCCACGTCTCTTCCTTCCGGCCACACGCATGGACACGAAAGTCTTCAGAATGCATTATTTTGTACTTCTCCCAGAAAGAATTCTAACGTGTAAGAATGCTGACACGCTCTGTGGCATAAATGATCAATGCGAACTGGCCGAGACTGCACTGTCTTCGAAGAACAATCTTGGAGGTGTACCTCTGTTTAATGGATTATGTCCTTAAACTCGTCCAAAAACTCTTCGTTAATTTCCTTTGTCAAGAAAAGAGACCTGGGAAGCAAATTTACAACTGCTATAAGAGTTTGAACTTCAGAAATCGCGGCTCCGGTCGTCATTCGAAATTCATACAGTTACGGGGAATTAGTGACACAGTTAACAAGGAAAGGACACGACAACAATGGGCAAGAATATCGTATATTCGCATGGAGAAAAGACTTTCTCAGGTTCAAAGGACTTGCTATCTGATAAGAAGGAAGAAACTGGCAGAGAAGAAAGGAATGGCTAATTGTTTACATCTTTCCCCGTTAGGACGAGAATGCCTCCAGGGGAGTTCTTGCCTCTGCACATTTCAGGCTGAATGGAGGCTTTTCCCTGCAGTATAAGGGGTCAGAATCATGTTGGTATGGAATAACACCAATGTGAGTTCAAAACCAGCTTTTGTCTAGAGACTAGGGCCCGAATGCTGAAACCTCCATTAGTCAACGGTCCCTTAACCCTTTCATGGAGTATGATCATTATAAGGATCATATCTTTTGAGACTGCTCTTGCGGTTACCATTGAACAAAACCTGTTTTATATGGTACTGCTTAATATTAATAGCTTTCGAAACGGGCTCTTCGGTAATGCATCATTCGTTCAAATAGGTTGTAGTTCAGGCAAGCTGGATCAAAAAGAAAAGTTGTAACCCGATATGTTTGATTTTTTTGTGAAATGGAATTTTGGACGGAAAATTAAGATTTTTCCCCCTTTTTTTTTGGAAAAGGGAAAAATATGCCCGCATGCTGCAAGAATGGACAGATAAAATTGGGACAAAGGCCAAGTTTTAGGGGCTCCCCCATGTGTGAACAATGGCCTGTTATTCGCTATTTTCCGTTTATGATTTTTGTCATTAAAAAATTCAGTTTTTGAATATATGAGTAAATATTTGAAATTTTCTGCAAGCTCCGTCTTTAGCTAGGCCTGTTCAATACATAAAGCGGTAAAACAAATTTCCTAGTTAGTCGTTTTCTTAGTTCAGCCATGATAGGGTTAAGAATACATGGATTCCAACGGAGGAATACGAGCTCTTCAGCTTAAAGACCCTTTCATCTCCCCTAAATGAGGTTCCTGCATTCGGGCCTAATGCATTCTACCCTGAAACGATCCTGGCGATCAATATTTGACTTAGGCCTTGTCAGAGATGAGATGATTTTGAAGTCAAGATCGAGATAGATGGTGGGAATATTAAAATCACTTGAGCTATAATCCGTAAATAAGGTTATCTTAAGATAGATTAATCAAATTTCCCATTTTGAAAGACATAAAGAAAAGCCCTGGTCTAATCTGCAAAACCTGTCAAGGTCGAAGCCAAGACATTCAGTACAACAGGCTATTTAGTGCGTTGTGACCAAAGGTCTGGCTTCCACCTTAAACATACATAGTCTGAATCATATCAGGAAACCTTTCCCATCGTAATCTCTCAGATGAGTCATGGACCCATGGGGCCCATTTTTTTTTCCCGTAATTTTCTGTAATGTAATTTTACCTTTGAACCTTTGGACCTAGTTCAATTTTTGCTATAGCAAAATGCGGAAGTGCGTGGTATATTATTGTGATAATCTATTTCAAAATGAAAAGAGTATGCAGCTCACCGATGATGCTGACAAGAAAAATCCTTCTGGTCACTTTTTCCCACAAAACACATGTATACCTAGGGGTGTGCACAAAGTAAATGGGTAGAGTTGATACAAAGATAAATTTAATGTTTTCGCCCGGGATCGAACCGGGGACCTTCCGCGTGTTAGGCGGATGTGATAACCACTACACCACGAAAACTCACAGAGAGAGATTAACTATTACATTCTTACTCAGCCTTGCCATATCACCTCACAGTCCACCTCTCTCCTGCGTTACAGACAGGGAGGCAAGTGTGCATGCGCAGGGATGGGATGGCCTTCGTAGCTGTGAGCTCGAGCTGTCGCTTCGTCAAGGGGTCTAGGAGGAAAGATCAAGCGGCCGGGAGTCGTGGCGCGCTCCTGTAATCCAGCTACTCTGGAGGCCGGGATTCGGGATGGTGTGGGGCCGGGAGAACTGTGGGGTGTTCGCCTATGTTGATCGGGCGTCCGCGCTAAGCTCGGCATCCATATGGGGGACTGAGGGTAGCCTTGGTTCCCCAGGTGGCCTAAGGAGGGGGGGAACGGGTCAGGGGGGCAACCCAGCAGCCAAAACCTCCCGTGTCGAGCAGTAGTGGGATCGCGCCTGTGAATAGGAAGCGCTCCGCAGCTTGGCTGAAACGCCAGACTGTGTCCTTTTTTCCTCTCCTTTTCGTTTATCATGAATATGTTGAGTAAATTAAATTGTATTTGTTTAAAAATTTTTTAAAAGTATAACTTCCCTGCGCTTAATTAATTTTAAGAAATAAAGATAATTCTGGGTAAGTGTGATCAGTCCTTATTTTCGGTACTCATAAGTACAATATAAATGCAAAAAAAATATTTCTGCATAGAAATGCTACTTAATTTTGTCTCTAAAATGTGATTGCCGCTTCATCAGTATCACATGGCCCGAACACTATTATATTATTATTGTATTTTCCCTGTTCAAAATCATGTTCACTCCAAATGGGGTATCGGCATAGGTGTGATCGCTGAAATGGCTCATGTGAGAGAAACGCACACAAATCTAAAGTAATGGTCTACATGGCTAATGAAATCAAAGGTGAATTTGATCAGCACTTACTTTTTTAGTTACAAGCACAATATTTAATCAAGAAAGTATGGACTAGGAATCCCACAATCGACACATCCCTATGGCGGTATGAATCAATTGGTACCTTCTTCGTCGAATCGGTGCAGAAGTTTTTTTCGCGGGTAGAACTGTGTCTTCGGTTGCATGAAAACTTGATGCACAGAAATACCGAGACATTAAGTGTTTCGCATGGGAGCTTCACGATGAGCGATGCGCATTCACCGCTCCGATTCTCGCTATAGGATATCGCGAGCCATAAATAGTGGAGATAGAGGTTTAAAAGCATTCTGTTTATTTATCACACCGGCGAGAAAATCCCTGGTACCATGGAGTAATGGCGTTCCGTTGGGTTCTTGATAGACAAGGCAACTCCACACAGAGTTTAGATCCCGATCGCCATATTAATGAGTCACGTTGCGAACGTTTCTGAATCTCAATTCCTTACAGAGCATTTCGGTTTCGAATCTCGGAATGGGACCGACAGTTCGCGATCGAGACGGAAGTCCGCGACGTAAAGGCGACAAGACAGGGGCCGCAGCGGCGTTGAAATGCCACAGCAAAGAAAACATTTTTTCGAAGAAATGACAGTCGTGGGAAACGTGAACCACACGATGATTCAAATTCAACGACACCCTGCAGCAAAGGAGGGGGGGGGGGGGAAGGCGTTACAAAAATGGCCAGATCCGATCGAAACGAGCAGCAGAATTTCGAAGTGCAACCTCTCGGGAGCATAGGCCGCATGTTATCGTCGCATGCTGGAACAGAGATAAGATCGGAGATAAGACCAGAGATAACAAGCCGTTTGTCGTTCTTATCGCGATGCTGCCGATCCTGCATGACCTCAAATCAGTCGGACAGTATCACGGGGGGGAATTATGCACACTTCATGTAAGCCAGCTTCCACCTGCCAGAAACGTCCTCTTCGGCGGAACCGGCATTTATCTTGAGGAATTCCAACATTTAGATCGAGCCTCTTAAGAGACGAAAATCGTGGATGCGCCTCACGCATCCGTCGCTCGATGAGCACCGGCCGAGCAATTTCGCGCCTATTGAAGTACGCGTCGGAATGCGCGGCATGGACGAGCAAGGGACCAAAAAGAGAGGGGAGAGACCAAAAGTGAGGGGAGGAACCCCGCCCGACCTCACATTCACCCTGACTCCCCCCGAAGACCCTGGCACCCTTCTGGCCATGGCCGCCCTTATCGCCATCCTCCTCGTCTCCTCCCTCTACCAGGACTGCGCCGCCCGCCTCCCGAGCTACGACCTCGACCTCGACACGTCGGGCGAGCGGGTCCTCTCCTGGGCCGTGAACTACGAGAAGCGCGTGGTCGAGGTGAGCGTCGCTGCCGTCCTCGACGACTCCCAGTGGTTTGCCCTGGGGTTCTCCGACTACGGCGACCTAGAGGACGCGGACTTCTGCTTCATGTGGGTCGACTGGAAGGGCGATCCGTACCTTCAGGTCAGTCTGTCGGGATTTACGTAATGGAATTTCAGGCCTTTCTTGCCGTCGGTTACATGGCGAGATGAGACGTTAAAGGCTGCGATCCAGAGAGAAAGGCCTAAAATTTCACTTAGAAATCTTCAAGACTCTGAGGGACTAGGTGAGACTCGCTCATGAGCTTTCAATTGTGTGAATTCACTTCTACCTGCCAGGATGGCCAGTTATTGTTGCCTATACTTTATTTCAAAGCATTTCCGCAAGAAATATCGCTATAGTTGGGAGGATTTCTTTTCCTTTCTTAGGATGCTTTCACAGACGAGGCAGGGATATTGCACGTGGACAAGGAACAAGACTGCAAGAGATTCTCCATCGAACGGAAGGAGAACGAAACGCACTTCTCCTTCACTCGGGAGTTCGTCACATGCGACGACGAGGACTACGAAATCGAGGTCAAACGATCTCACCTCGTGGGCAAGGGGGGGGGGGGGGGGGGCGAAGGAGTAAGTTGCCCCCCCTAGAACCACAATTTTTATTATTCTGGATTTTTTTCTTATTAACAGGATGGAACGACACACGTACTGTACGCCACGGGACCCGGTCCCCTGATCAAGATCGAGGGACTCGATCTACACGACTACGAATGGGGGATGGCGAGGGTGCAGCTGTTGAAGCCCGGGATCCCCATCCCGCGCTTCCCGGAAGGGACCTTCCCCGTGGACGTGAGCGCCGAGAAGGTGGCCGTTCCGTCCGAGGAGACCACGTACTGGTGCCATGTTTACAGGCTGCCGGATCGGTTTCATAGGAAGCATCACGTTCTCATGGTCTGGACGCGTCTGTGCCGACAATTTCTCGTCTTGTTTTGTTTCATTTTTTTTATTTTCATATTTATTTTTGGTTTTTAGTATTTCTTTATTATTATTTTTTACTTTCTCTGAATCTAACGAAGCCATGCCGGATTCCTCCCCGAACAGTTCGAGCCCCGAATCGAGAAGAAGAGCCGCGGCCTCGTGCACCACATGGAAGTATTCCACTGCGAGACCCGGGACCCCTCGGCGGCGATCCCCCTCTACCGCGGCCACTGCCACGCCGACGACCGACCGAGGGAGGTGGACGTGTGCAAGCGGGTCCTGGCCGCCTGGGCCATGGGGGCCTCTCCCTTCTGGTACCCGCAGGTGGGCTTTTCGAGAGTGGGCTTTTCGTGGGTGGGCTTTTCGAGAGTGGGCAAGGGCAAATCCTGGTTTATCGGTAAAAGATTTCTCTCGATTTGATTGCAAGCTTTCTCGTTTGATAAGATCTGAAGCAAGTTACATGTGGCCACGTTGACGGGGAAATGCAATGCGACTGAGCGATGAACACATTTATGCTTCAGCCGTCCGAAGAATATTCAGAACTTTGATCCAGAACTTTTAACCTTGCATTTCTCTCTTCCAGCGACAGCTGGAATGCCATGGCAACGACGGCCTCATGATGGGCTACATTAGTCTCACTTCGGGATTTGATCCACCTAGAAACCCTGCGATGAAGTAGAAATGCATCTGCGAGTGACTTGCTTAACCCCATACGTATACGCATGAAACCTTAGAACCGCGCTTCACTTCGTCGGTCAGAATCATTTGTGATCTAATCATATGAATCAAATAATCGATTTGTGGTTTGATTCATGGGAGATGGGTAGAATTTGGGCACCTTAGGCCGGAAGTTATATCATTTACTTTTGAACGGCAACTTTGCTCGGGACAGGTTAAATGAGGACAAAACGCAGGTATCCCAAAGTTGCGAATTTTAAACTGATGCATTTACTCACTAGAATTAAGTGAAGTAGAATTAAGACTCACTCTTTTTAAGGGTGCCCAAATAACCTGCAGGGTTATCTCGACAAGCGGGTTAAATAGGCCGTATTCGCTGATTTTGATTTTTTTTGTTGTTGGTCGTCATCGAAACTGCAACCAGTTTCGATGGTTCCCGGAATAACAGATGCTGATGATGAAAAGATTTGTCTGTGCGCGTTAGGAAGCTGGCTTGCCGATCGGGGGGGCGGACTTCAACCGATACGTCATGCTCGAGGTGCATTACAATAATCCGGACAAGATATCGGGTAAGCCGAAAAAGTTGGTTTACAAAAAAAAGGATGAGATTGCTGATGATTGCCTTCGATTGTCAGGGCACGTGGATAGCTCTGGGATCAGACTGCACGCGAGTTCCCGGCTGAGAAAGTACGACGCGGGAGTGTTGGAACTGGGATTGGAATACACGCCGAAGATGGCGCTGCCTCCGCGCATGGACACATTCTACCTCTCGGGGTTCTGCATCTCCGAATGCACTGCGCTGGTGAGAGCGAGGGGGGAGGAAGAAGGGAAGGGGAAGGATTAGAGGGTGGGGGATAGGAGGTGGAGGGTGGGGGATGGAGGATGGGGTGATGGAGATGGTTCTCGGTTTTCGGGCTAGGGTCTGCCGGAGGAGGGAATCATGATTTTCGGCTCGCAGCTACATTCACACTTGACGGGGAGGCGGATCTGGACGAGGCACGTTCGAGAGGGGCGGGAACTTCCGGAACTCAACCGAGATAACCACTATTCGACGCATTTCCAGGAGATCCGGATTCTGAAGGAGCCGGTTCACGTCCTACCCGTGCGTTTTTATTTTTCATTTGTTTTATTTTTTTTTTTCAATTTTCATTTCTTCTTTATTTACGTATTTATCTTGATCGTGTTCGACTGTCGATTACGACCTCGACGGTCACGGTCCGATCGCAGGGGGACGCGCTCGTCACGACCTGCCACGACAGCACGCTGGACCGGGAGAACGTCACCGTCGGAGGCTTCGCCATCTCCGACGAGATGTGCGTCAACTACGTCCACTACTACCCGAAGATGAACCTGGAGGTCTGCAAGTCTTCCGTGGACTCGGAGGCGCTGGACAACTACTTCCGGTTCATGGAACTGTGAGTCGCCGTTTCGGAACGAAACGGAACGAAACGGAACCCGGAACGATTCTTGAGACCTTGCTTCCACCGCAGATGGGAGAACCAAGCGACGTCGCCGGAGAAAGACGTGACGGGGAACTACCACGCCATCTCGTGGACCCCGCTCCGAGCGGACGGCCTCAAGTCCCTGTACGAAACGGCTCCGCTGTCCATGCAATGCAACCAGAGCAACGGCGACCGGTTCCCAGGCGCCTGGGAGGCCATGCCCCAGACCCAGATCCTCCACCCGCTTCCCCCGGCGGAGGAGGAGTGCCCCGAGGAGTAAGGCGGATCGTCGCGCGTCGCGGCCGAGACCGCAGGCGAGTCGCGACGGAGCGGCCGCGACGGACTTCCCACTTCGTGTCTGTAGGTTAGGACTCGCTGGAAAATCGTCACGCGTAAAACGTCCCAGACCCACAAGCAAATGCTTCGCATTCCGTGTTCGTGTCGTCAACGCAGCGGCAAAATGAATGATTGCTGGCGTCGAGAATCCACGAGAGTCTTGCTCATTTCCGAACGCAAGGAATCTAATCCACGTCGACATCTCCAATCCTAATCCACGTTGACATCTCGCGATTCCGGTTTCGATAGCGGCATCAGTCCGATGCTCCACGATTCGATTCGGCTCAACAACGAAAAAAAAAAAGAAACGGGATGGGAAACTCTGAGACCAAATGAAGAGATGTAAGGAAACGTGGTCAGTCTGCAAAAAAAATTGTTTATTTCCTCTACATCCACATGAAAACAGTGAGTATTCAGCAAAAAGTGAGGAAAAGTGGCGTGCATAGATGGACCAGTTTATCTGTAACATACTTCCCCGAAACCACCATATTTATTGAAAGGCAAAGGCTCTATGAGCATAAGCCAATTATAATTTTCCGGACACTTTTTGCAGATGGTCCACTTTTCCTTTCAGCTGTTCAAACAACACGACTCGAACCGCAATGGGTTAAACCACCACGCCGGGATCACATGGCCACTGTTTCGCATTCAAGTGATTGATGCAGCGGGCAGAACCCGAGAGGAACTCGATCGCTTCATGTTCCGATCAACGATGGAGCAATTTCCGCATAAAAATTTGCTTTAAGCCGATTCCATTGCAAAAAAAAAAATTGCTCTGAAGAGGTGGCACGAATCAAACAAATTTGACACATTTGGATTTCCGCTGTCGTATCAGCGCTCCCCGATCGAGGTGTCGAGCCAGAGAAAACTTGCCCGAAGAAAGAGGATGAAAGACACACCGTCCGTTTTCTACTTCGCTTCCTTTCATCGGTTTCCAGTTTCGACAGAATCCTTTTCGAGCGTTTGCAGTTCGTGCTCTCTTCCGTCGAAAGATGTCGGAGATCCGTGGTTAAAGACGACGACTGCAACTCGACTACGACCGCGACGAAACGAACATCTATTTTATATGGAAATCGCGTATTCCGTTCCGGGCGGAACGGAACCGGCCGTTCAGAGGGGGATCGTACTGTCTGGGTCCTGCGATCCCTTCGCTCTGTTCCACGGTTGTTCCTCTGCCGTGCTGAACGCGGTGTAGAAGAGGAATTCGAACGAGTAAATACCGGACGCGATGAAGAAGGCGGTTCGC